AACTATATTGCCCCAAAATAGGGCCCTTGACATCTGGTCTCACCGCCCCAAACTAGACAACTGACTCCGGTCTCTGTCTCCCCCAAACTGGACAAGAGGAACCCAGTAATTGTCACCCAAACGAGAAAAGAAGGCCAACAATTTCTGTCCCCCCATCTAGACAACTAGATCTAGTCTCTGTCACCTTAAACATGATGATGGATGAATAAGCTCTGCACATCCAACCAGACGATCAGAACTCAAACTGTATCCACGAGTTAACGAGGTGAGCGCCCCATCCCCCCTCTGACTATACAACCGAACCTCCAGTCTTAACCAGTCTGTCATCCTCAAAACGTCCTGGGACCCAGCCTCTATCCCATAATACTAGGCAACTAACCCCCAGACTCTGCCACTCCAAACAGACAATGGTACTGCTAGGCTCTGTCACTCCACATTGAGCAACTGACACATAACATGTCACCTCAAACTAGAGACCTGGGCCCACAGCCCCATTAATCTTTATCTTCTCAACTAGACTCCAGTGTGTCATCCCAACCTGGACAACCAGACCCCTGGTCCTACCCGCTGAGAGAACCAAGCAAGTGAATTCTCATTCTATGTCACCTTAAACTAGATCTTGGAACCCCAGTCACTTCATCCCAAACTGGACAACTGATCTAATTTGTGTCATCACAAATTAGACAACTAACCTCTTGGTCTCTGTCACCCCAAACTCAAATTCCTAGTCTCTGTCACCTCAGGCCAGGCCCTTGGATCACAGAACCCTTCATCTCTGCCACCCCAACCTAGACAAATGAACCCCTGCTTCTGCTGTTCCAAACCAGACATCTGGACCCCCAGCCTCTTGCACGCCACACAACACAAAGAAACGCCACAGTCTTCTGAGACCTGTCATGACAACCACGTCAGTAATCTTTGCCTTCCAAGCCAAATGACAGGACCCAGTCAGTCTGTCACCCCCAACTAGGTGACAGATCTGTAGTGTCTGCCGCCTCAGCCTAGCCCAGGGGCCAAACCAAAGCCCTGTACCCCAGTGTCATCACCCCAAACAAGATAACCAGTCCCTTGTGCTCTATAACCCCAAGCCAGACAATTGGCCTGTGTCTCTGGCACCCCATGAGATAACCAGACCACAAGTCACAGAGATCCCAGTGGAGTCCTCCAGACACCCAATTTCTGTTGCTCCAAACTAGTAACTGAACGCTCAGTCTGGCATCTCAAACCTTAAAATTTTGGTGCCTCAACCCGCAACTAGATTACCATTCTGTTGCCCAAAAAGAGACTAGGTAGCAATTCTGATACTCCTATAAAAGCTCCAGAACTACCAGTCTTGGCCACCTCAAAACTAGACAATCAGACCCCTAGTCTGTCACCCCAAACTAGACCTTAGGATCCCAGCCCCATCACTGCAACTGTGACAAGAATCCGTCTCTGACACCTCAAACGACTCCAGTCCCTGTCACTCCCAACTAGAAGAGTCCCTAAGCTGTCACTTAAAATGGGGGAACCAGACTCACTGTTTTTAACACCAAACTAGATAAGATGTTCCCCAAACTAAACAACGTGGTCCCCCCAAGTCACTGTCATTTCATGCTAGGGATTAAGACCCCCAATTCCTATTGTCCCAAATTATGTAATAGGACCCTAGGCTCTGTCACTATCAACTAAACAGCATTGGTGCCCAAGGAAACAACCAGACCCCAAACAGGCTGCCTCCAGCCAAGGGGACACCCTACCTTGTCTTCCCAAACTAGGGTCCTAGACACCCAGTGTCATGATCCCAAATTGCTACCTAGACACCCAGGCCTCAAGAATCCCCTTCTGCGTCACCTCAAACTAGATAAATGACCACAGTCTCTGTCACCTCAAAGTTGATAGCATCCCCAATTTTTCTTACCCCAATCTGGACCCCAAACAAGACAACCCGAGGCCCAGTTGGACACCCCAAATGAGGTGTAGTCACTCTCTGGCTCTGTCACTCTATAATGGACAACTGGGTCCCTTGTCCCTGTCACGCCAAACCTGGCCTACAGGTTCTTTAATCATGCAGTTGACAACCGGGTCCACAATCTGTCTCTTGCAACCAGCCAAATGGACCCTCAGCCTCTGTCATCACAATAGACCACCAGACTTTTGGTCTTTGTCCCCTTGATGAGACACTAAGCCCCAGTTTCTGTTACCACAAAACAAACCTCTCAATCCCAAGGTCACCCAGAAAGTGATAAGTGGGAAAATGGAGCCCCAGTCTTGACCACCCTGTATGGAAGCTTCTGCTCTCAGCATCTCAGTAACTCAACATCGGAACGAGGGACCTATAGTCAGTCACCTGCAGATTAGGCCTCTGGACTGAGTCTCGACTTCCCGCTGCCCCCAGGGCCAAGCTGCCAACCGCTTGACTCAGGAATCTCAGCCCTAGGTCCCTGGGCCGCCAGCCTCAGTCATCTCCAACAAGGCACTTGATGGTCCATATTCACTCAGGCCCCACAGTGTAAACCAGACAGTGACCACCCAGCGCTGTGGAGATGAAGACTGTCTCCTCTGGGACCTGGTATCTGCATCGACAAACGAATGCTCTCTGCTATCCACACACTGGGACTAGGACGCTGGTTTCGGGGTAGAGCAGGGTCCCTGACTTGGCCTCGGGGACCTCAGGCCATCTCCCAGGACAGGCGTGGCTCTGGCTCCCTCCCTGGAGAAGGCCAGGAGGAAGCACTGTTCCGCCCTCTGGTGGTTGCCACTGGAAGCACGCCCCTGGTAACTGTCTAGGACCAGTGTGTGGACTGATACTCAGGCCGCCTAGTCTTCCCATTGTGCTGGAAGCCTGAAACCAGGAGGAGGGGTGGGGGGTTCATCATTGCCTGTCCCTGCACTCAGTTCCCACACGGGTCAGTCGCCAAGCCCCAGCCCTCCTCCTGAATGTGCCTTCCCTCTCCATTCCACGTCCTGGCCTCATCTTCCCCACGTGGCTCATCCTCCCTGGTCTCAGACCATCCAGCCCAACCCCAAACAAACCGAGAGGAATATTTCTAATGTTCACACCTGAATCGGTCCTTCCCCTGCTCAGAACCCTTCTATAGTTCTACATTACCTTTAGCTAAAATTCAAAGACCTCACCTTGGCTTGTCCTGCATGATCTGGCCAACAGCCTCCCTGCCAGTCTCCTAAGGATGTCCCCTCACTCTTAAGCACTGCCTCGTCACAGAGCAGATCCGACCTCAGGGCCTGTGCACTAGCTGGTCCCTTTGGCTGGACCACTCTTCCCCCAGACCTCCAAGGGTCCATCTCCTCCTCACTGCCCAGCAAGGCCCTGCCGCCCCGCTCAGCGAGCCCGGCACCTTCCTCAGCCACTCTCTAGCCCCCTTGACTGACTTCAGTGCACTTATCGCTGTGTGAGTTTCCTGTTGCTGGTTGTGTGGCGCGCCCCTCCAGCTGGACCCAAGGTCCCGGAGGACCTCGTCTGTTTGCAGCCCTGACATTTCCCTGGCACCTAAGCCAGCGTGTCTAGTAAGAACAGAATACGCGTCATGAATGTGACCTTACACTTTCTACTTAATCAAATTTTAAAAAGTAAAAAAGGAGAAAATAATTTAAACAAGTATATCCATTATCCTTCTAACACATAACCAGTATAAAATATCATGGGGAGTTTTACGCCCTTTTCCTACTCAGTCTTCGGTATCTGGTGTGTACTCTACCCTCACAGCATGTCTCAATTTGGACCAGCCAGGTTTCAAGCGGCCGCCATCTGTGACAGGATTCCAGAATGCTGCGTACTCAGTGATAAACACTTGCTGAATGAACAATGAAACGGTGAATTTCGGTGACGAGACACAAGGTGGGAGGCCATGCCACCTGCAGCTTTCTGTGGCTGGCTCGTGTCCGTCAGGGCTCACTGAAATGTCCCGTCCTCAGAGAGCCCTCCCTGGTCAGCCCCATCTGAAGTAGCTTTTCGGGCCCTCTCCGTCACCTCACTTGTCACATGTGCCTTTACCAGGTGTGACTCTTTTGTCAGCATTTCCACGAGTCTTCGCATTATAATGAAAAGCAAATCGTGTCCCTTTCACCTCACCCAGAGTGAAGCAAAGCCCTCACTGAAGCCTGCAAGTCTGTCACTCTCATCCAGCTCACCTGCTGCAGCCACACCGCCACACCGGCCTCCTGACCCCCTCGACCTCCGGGCACACTGCCGTCTCTGGGCCTTTGCACCCACTCTCCACTTCCTCTGCCCAGAACATTCTCCCTCCCAAGCATCTGCAGCTCCATTCAGGTCTTCACTGATGTCACCTCACCTCAGGGAGGCCTTCTTTAACCTGTATCTCATTTCCAGAACTTACTCTGGGAGGAACAGACTGCTGTCCTTAGCTGCTTGTGTAGCTAGCTCCTGGCTGGCTTCTTAGAACTCGGATTTCAGGAGGGTCCCCACCATTGCCCGATAGGAGCGGCTCACTTGTCTACACTATTTGTGCAAATGACACTGTTTCTGTGGAACACCTACTTTCCTTCTGGGAGTCTGGAATTTGGTCCGTGCTACATAGAGTGCTTAGGTGGCCACCCCCGGCAAAAAGCCTGGGCTCTGCGACTCTAATGAGCTTCCTTGGCAGATATTTTACAGTTATCACAATTCACTGCCGGAAGCAACAAGCACGTCCGATGTGACTCTGCTGGGAGAGGACTCTGGGACGCTTGTACCTGGTCTCGACTTCGCCCCATGTGACTCTGCTGTGTCCTTTCATAGTAAACTATAGCCGTGAGTCCAACTGTGTACTGAGTCTCCCTAGCAAATCATCGAGCATGGGGGTGGCCTGGGGGACCCCTGGCACAGTCTCCCTTCCCAACTCTTTTCTCCTCCTTGGCGTGCATTGCCGTTGGCCATCCTTACCATATTTTAGTTATTCATCTTGCTTACTGTCTTCTCCCACTGAAGTCCCTCTGTCTCGGTCTCTGCGGTTCCCCAGCATCCCCCCGCACAGATCCACAGAAGATCCCGGGAGAGTACGTGCTGCATGACACAACTACGACAGCTTTATTTCCAAAGCTGGGTCCCTCCTTGGGCTGGGATAGGAAGGGGGCCTCTGGCCGAAGCAGCAGAGCCGTGCAGGACAGCGGTGCAGAGATGGGGCAGCTGGTTCGGGAGGCTGGCAGGTCCTGGGAGATGCCTCACACCGGCTCCATCTGCAGCTCTTCCCCGTCCACGGTCTCGATCTTGTGCAAGGCGGCGTGGGAGCTGATGACCACGAGGGTGGCTCCTGCAGGAAAACAGGCAGCTCAGGGCTTCGCTCCCTTTTCTGGCCCCTACCTCCGCCACCAGACCCTGTACTTACCCAGGACCCAGAAGACAGCCGAGCCTGCACCAGCCAGCCAGAAGAAGGGAAAGGAGACGGCCCCAGCTAGAGCATACTGATGGGCAGGGCTCACCTCTCGGCCTGGGGGCAGATGGCATTGGAGCAGCTGTTCAGACATGTGTCCCCGCTCCCAAAGTAACCCCAGATGCCCCCAACGGTCCGCTGTCACAAGTTCTGGGTGCCTCAGGAACATTCAAACTTCTCGTGCCAAAGCCCTCAGAGTCCTGGCCCTGCCCATTTTCCCCGATATCCCCACTGTCCACCAGAATACAATACACCCTCCTCAGCCCCCTACCCTCTGCCTTCAACCCCACTTCCTCTAGGAAGCTCCCAGCCTCCCACTCCCCCAGATTAGGTCTCTCCAGCTTCAGCCCACACTCACGCAGACCAGGAGTTTTAATCTGGTGGCCCAAGGGCCAAGTCTGACCTGTGGATGTGTTTTTTGAGTCTGCACAATGTTCCCCAAGAATTTGTGGATGACAGAGAAGTGAAATGATTTCACATAACAACAGATTTCTGGTTTCTCTTGGCGGATTGGAAGATTGGGTCTACAGGCCCCAGGGGGCAGCAGCAGCTGAAGCCAGGTCACGGCTGTGCTCCAGGGGCTCCCTCCATGCCCTGTGCTTGGTCACCATGCCTCTCTACCAGCCCACCTTTGTCATGTAGATAACCTGCAGGTCCCTGAAGGAGTCTGTCTCAGGGCTACTGCTTATCTGATCTCAACTCTTCTGTGTCCCCACTCTAAACCTTGAGCTTCCCTTGGGTGGGGACTCAGGCCCCTCTTCCTTTCAAATGGTGTTTGGTACCAGTCTGTGACCACATGAGCTGCAGGCCTCAGCTTCTCTCTCCCTGAGAAGTCCCAAGATCTTTTTGGTCCCACCCCAGGAAGCAAGACAGGGAAGGGGGACAGATCTAGGCCAGTGTAAGATCGCCACCTGCTGTCCAGTGTGGGTACCTGCAGCTGACGCTTTCTGCAGAGGTTAAGGAGAGGGAAAGGGGTAGGTTTAAGGAACAGGAACTAGGTGATGAGCGGGTTCTGGGGAATTCCACTCTAGGTTTGGGGAATAACAATTTGGGTGGCTGAGACCTGGTGGGAGCATCTGGTGCATCTGAGATTTTAAGGGATGGGGTTTGGGGGCTCAAGTGCAGATCTAGGCTTGGGCAGACTTGGGTTTGGGCCTGGAGCTTTTTGTTCCAAGAGACCAGGATTTGAGGGGTCAGGGAAATATCTGGGCAGGGAATTTCTCACCAAAGAGCACAAACTTGGACTGCAACGTGCGCAAATAAAGGATGTAACAGGCACCAAAGAAGACGGCCAGAGCCACCAGTAGCATGGGGGACGTCAACCTGGAGAAAGGTAAAGAGGCATCGGTCAGGCAGCTGAGGATGTTTGACCCAGCCAGGGGGATCCTGACCTACACTAGCGGAGGACAGGTTATGTCCTTGAGATCAGGCAAGTTCAGGTCACATTTGGTCACACTGCGTCCTGGCTAGGCTGATGCGGCAGTAGGGACGTGGCCTTTTGGTGAGTTTGGCAGGTGAGAGGAGGGGCTGGCCGCTGAGGGCGGGGCCGACCAGTGCGACCTGAAGGGGGCGAGGTCGGGCGGAGAGGCACTCACACGCAGTACAGGATGAGGCCCAGGAACACGAACACATAGTTGCTCTGGTAGTACTCCACGTTGCGGACGAGGCGCTGGCACAGCTCGCCCAGATTGCGGGGCCGCGAGAAACGCCGCTGGTCCACGAAGGTGCTCCAGGGCCGGATGGTCGCGCGGCGTCGCTCCAGCCACTCACGGCCGGCGCCGGATGGGATCAGTTTCGGCAGCAGGGTCCTGGTGGGCGGGGCCAGGTTAGCTAGCGGTGGACCTGGATGGGGGCCTCAGGGAGCCAGACTCCGGGGTTTTGGGGGCGGTGGGTGGGGAAGGGGGGAAGAGTCCGAGACTCCTAGACCCCAGGGGAAGAGGGGGCTGAGGGCCCAGACTCCAGAGTCCTCGAAGAGGAGTCCAGAGGCCTAGACTCTAGGGTCTGGGGGCCCGGATTCCTGGGACCCGAGGGAGGAGGGGGCGGAGGGCCTGACTCCCGGGTCTCAGGGGAGCGACAGCCGGTTTGCTCACGCGGCGCTCAGCCCTTCCTCCTCGGCATCCTTCTGCTGGTCCTCAGCCGCCATGCCTGCGTCGTGAGGGGTAGAACCGCTGTAACGAGCCCCGGGCTCCCCACACCCTGCCCGCCCCGCGGGAGCCGGGCCCCACCCAGCCGAGTGGACGTGGCAGGGTTCGGGAGCCGCTGAGGGCGGGAGTTCTGCCGCTGAGCACTGTGGGAGTTATAGTCCTGATGATGTCGGGGACGGCGGACGCCATGATGGTGGTCTGGCTCGCAAAGCGCATTGGGAAATGTAGTCGCTTAAAGCAACGATGAGCGCTTGTGGGCATTGTGGGAGTTGTAGTTTCAGCAGCCGAACATGTAGCGTCAGGAGAGGGGGATTGTCACGAGTAGGCGTTATGCGAGCGCTTAAGGAACAAGTGCTGTGTACTCTCTCCCGTGCAGGGTATAACGGGACCTTCTAGAGCTGTCGTTCAGACTCTAGAGGGCGTAAGAAACACCTGGAGGGCTTGATAAAACACTACATATTTTGATTCAGAAGATCTGGGGTGGTGCCTATTCATAGGTATTTTTAATCAAGTTCCTAATGCTGATGCTGCTAGTGCCTGGACCATGTTTTGAATAGTGAGACTGTAGAGAATTCGTGGAAATTCCTTCCTCGAAGCTAGTGAGAGGGCCGTAGTTGCTGCAAAGTTTCCCCCACAACCCTGGGCTCCCAGGGTTGAATGGGTTAGGACTAGGGACCTAGAGACACCCTTTCGATTGGAAAGAGAGAAGTAGGAAAAGGGAAAGGGTGAGAACTTTTAAAAGAGGAGGTTGTTATAATTAAAAGAGCTGAAATTCTGGAGTCAGAGGTGAAAATCCAGGCTGTTGACCTCGTCACCTCCCTGAACCTCTGTCTTCACCTGAACAGTGGGCATCCTGTGAGTACCACCCTTAAACAGTTTAGATGATTCAGTTACATGGTCTGAGTAAAGTGCTTAAGTCTTGATACTTTGTAACGGCTCAATAAATGGTAGTGGATGTTATTGCTACTATATTATCGTGAATGTTATGATTATTCCTACAGATCAGCCTTCTCAAATATAACAGCAAAGTATTAGGGGCTCCTGGCCCCATGGATGTCCCAAAGAGTGGCTGGTGTCTGAGGCCTGAGCCTTTCCTTTCCCTAGTTCCCACGGCCGTGGTTTTCTCAGTCTTTGCCCCTACCCCTGCCCCTGCCCCTGCCCCTGCATGAGTTGTGGGAAAACGGCTGGTGCTCTAAAGGTGTGCACAAAACAGCCTCAAGAATGTGTGTGTAAGGAAGCCTGGGCCCCCTTTCATGGACTGAGGGCCTCGTTTTCCAAGGTTGGCTGAGGCTGGAGTAGAATTCCCACATGGGAAATCCAGGCAACACCGAACCCCAACTTTTATCTTCCAAGGCCCACGTTCCTTTTGGGTTTGGGCTTTGAGGCCTGGTGTATTTCCGGGAGATGAGGAAGATGGCCCCTGCCCAAGGGGCTGGTGGAGCGATAGGCAAAGAGGCCTCCTGGGGGTGGGGCAGTGTCCGAAGCCGAAGTGCAATGAACCACACTTTGAAGATCAGACTGGCTCATTACTGTTTCCTTCCCATTTGTCAGCCCTAGACTTTTAGTAGAGTCTCATTCAGGTTTCTCACTTGGGTCCAGGTTGGCTTCAGGAAAGAAAAGGCGGATGGTGAGTACATTAATGGGAGAGCAGTACTTGAGTTCAGAGGTCACCAGTGACAGAGCCCCCAAGATGAAGATGAATCTTGAGGAGCAGAGAGTTGGAGGCACAGGTCCGGCTGCTTCCTCCCATGGCCAGCCTTGGGAAATTTGGGTTTGACTTTTGTTACGAGAGCTGCTGGGTTTCCTTATAGGAACTCATTGAAAGTGATTTTACTCCATAATCCACCAGGACTTGTTCTGAGCAGAGGATATTAAGGCAAAGGCCTGGAGGTGTCGAACATCATGGACCATGGATACTGGGGTCCAGAGGCAAGGACACTGTGGGAGGGGCTCTCTGAGCGGAGCATGGGGAGAATCTTTGAGTCAGGGGATTTGGGGAGATGGGACCTGGTCCCAGGGGTAGTGTGTGAGAGGAGCCCTTGGAAACAGCGATTATGGGAGAGAGGGCACTGAGGCAGAGATATTGTGAGGGATGGGAGGACCGCTTCTCTCACAAGAAGATGGTGGAAGTTGGGGTCCCTGAGAGGGGATCTTTGGCAGGTGGGCCCTGAACTAGGGTATGGTGCAAGATGAGGGAGCGCCCGAAAGGACTGGGAGATGGCCCCTGGCCCGTGGTCCCTCCAACCAAGGCCTCCTTCTTGCCTCTTGGATCCTCAGAGGAAGATCTGGGAGGGTAAGAAGACCTTAGCATAGACAATCAGAAACGTGGGTTATACCCTTGCTGTGTGACTTGGAGGAAGTCTCTGCCCTCTCTGGGCCTCTGAGTGCCCACTTGTCTATGGGAGCCTTTCTCACACTGTACCCGATGAATAAAATAGTTTCTGCGGCCTCCCTAGGAGAGTTCCAGGCTCACGTAACCCCTCCCAGGACCAGGCTCAGTCCTGGGCATCATGAACAGTGCCTGGTACACATGGCCCTGCCCTCTGACTAACCCCACATCAGGTTCAGGCACTCCTCCTTCAGCCATTGTCCTGTGCAGGGGACATGTGCACACACCTACTGACACTCATGAGCCCTTCGCATCCCGGTCCCAGCCCCTCCTCTGACTCTCATCTCTGGACTGCGTTAAGAAGGCTGCCTTGAGGGAAGTAGTACAACCGCCCAACCAGAACGGCTAAAATTCAAAAGACTGACGATATCGAATGTTGGCGAGGACACGAAGCAACGGGAACTTTCGTGCAGCGTGGGACTGCAGGATGACGTGAGAGTTTTGGAAAGGGTCTGGCTATTTCTAGTAAAGCTAAACACGGTCTCTCCCATGACCAGCAGTTCCACTCCTAGGCATGTACCCAACAGAGAGGCATACACGTGTCATTACTAGAATGTTCCTTTTCCTAGCAGCACCCAGTGTAACATTCGCAAAGTGGGAACAATCCAAATGTCCATCAATGAGAGACTGGATGAACGAACGATGTTATACTCACACAGCAAAATACTACGTAACAATGAGAGTGGGCTACAGACCCACGCGACCACGTGGATGATCTCACAAACATGTTGAGAACAAGAAGTCAGACACACGAGACAACATGCCATAAGGTTTCCTTTGTACAAACCCGGCACGACTAAAGGATGGTGACAGAAATCAGATCAGCAGTTGCTTCTGGAGGGGGGCTGACTGGAAAGAGGCACAGAGGAACTTTCTGGGCCGATGGAAGTGTTCTGTATTGATCTGGGTGGTGGTTATGTGGATGTAATTGTTTAAAGCGTTGAGCTGTGCCTTTAAGATTTGTGCGTGCCATGGTATGAATGTTTATTTCAATAAAAAGAGGAAAGAGCACAGTGACTTAGAGCTCGGACAGCCTAGGTACAAATCTCAGATTTGTCGCCTCTCAGCTGTGTGACCTTGAGCAAGTCCCTTTTTCCCCCACCTGTGAGGATTAAATGAGCTGATACGCAGAAGAGAGCAGAGCACAGGGTGGACGCTCGATGAATCGCTACCATTATCATCATCACGGGCGTCACTGTCACCGCTCCGCAGGGTCCAAGTCCAACATGAGAGCATCTTGAGTCTGAGTCCCTTCCTCTCCCCGGTTCTGATCCCATAATCCCATCGCTTGGCGAATTCAAGCTGCTCTCACTTTAACTTTCATTGCATCTAAAACTCCATGACTTGATGACCCCGAGATCCTGTGACTTCCGAGCTGGTGCCAGGTGAAATTCCCGGTGCTGTGTGACTCCCCCGGCCACATGTGCCAGCACAAGGGCCACCATCCCACCCACATCTCCGGTCTAGAAAGCAAGCACGACACACACACCACTTCTCTCTCCCCACTGATATATTTGATAATTGTCCAGAACCGGAGATGGCATCAGCCGGGGTTGAGGGGGAGTAAAAAAGAGCCCAGGGAGGGAGCTGGGAGGTCGGGATGAGGAGAGGGGGAGAAACAGAGACACAGAAAAGACAGGAGAGAGGCAGAGGCAGGGGGCAGGGAGAGAAGCCAGCCAGAGGAAGTCTCGAGAGGGAGGGGGCGGGAGATCCTCTGAGGGGTTAGGGCCACGGTGGGGGCCACGGGGAGAGAGGGCCCCTTCCCCAGAATACAAAATGGGGGGGCCTGGAGGGGGCCATCCTGGGCTTCGGGGACAAGGAAGAGACGGGCGAGGTGGTGGGGTCGAGGTCAGTAGTAGGTTTCCTTCTCCACCCAACCTGGAGAGACAGAGGAGGAAAGAAACAGATGGAGAGAAGCACAAAGACAGAGAGAGCGAGTTAGAACGATGCAGGAAGGGACCGCAAAGGACAGAGACGTGTGGAAAGACAAACAGGAGGCCCAGAGAGACAGGAAGAGGGGGAAGAGATGGCAAGGGAAGGGAGAGAGACCCCGAAGGGAGACGGGGGACAGAGTGAGGTTAGCATCAGGCTGGTCACCACAGCGCTTCCCCACCCCCCCACCGCCCGAGCTCCTGGCCTGTCCCTCCAGCCTCCCCTCCCCCGCCCCAGCCTCCTCACCCCCCGGGTTCCTGCGCAGGATAAGTTTACGGATTTCATCATAGACGAAGATGAGGAAGCTGTAGGGGAAGGCACAGAACCACCAGCTGGGCCTGCAGAGATGGGACAGCAGGAGAGCGTCAGCACGAGGCCACATCAGGAGCAAGGGGCAGAGTCCCAGAGGACAGGAGGCCGCGCCAGGGTCCCCCTCGACCCCTTCCGCCCACAGGGGAGGGTGCCCTGGCCATGGCCGCGGGCCAGGGTCTGCAGAGTGCCCACTGTGAGAATGTCCCAGAGGGTGCGGAGGCTTGGTGTCATCGGAATGAGGACTGCCGTGGGGGACACAGAGGCAGGGTCCCGAGAGACACCAGGAGAGGCGGGGCCTGCGAGGCTGTCCCACAGGGAAGGCTCCTCGGAGGACACTGGAGGTGGCAAGGAGCACTCACTTGAGAGGGTACATGCGAAGGGCCACGTCCATGCCGGGGCAGTACGACAGGAAGGCAGCGAGGGCCGTCTCCTCGAACAGCCCGAAGATCAGGATCTTATTCCTGGAGGCACAGGCAGAGCTGGACCCGG